TCCAGAGGGTGTAGATAGGTTCATATCAAGAGGGATGTTGACTGGTTTTGTTGCCACTATGGTTACTGTTGCTACAGCAGCATAAAGGTGCTCAGCCTTGCAGAGAGACTACAGCAGAGGTGTGTTTGTTATAACAGCTTTGAAACGTGTCCATTTTATACAAGTTGATGCAAAGCAGTCAAAATGAATGCAGAAACTCTGTGTTTAAAAAAAAAAAAAATCAAGTAAAATAATGAAAGTACTGTTCATGGCCACCCATTGATGAAAAAAACCTGTGAACCCATTCTGTGTGAAGCCGACATGGCTATGAATTGTTTTGTCTCAAAAGCGAGTAAACAACTAAACATTTCAGTGCAACAAATAAAAGCTTCATTCATGCCACAACTATTTTTGCCTGTTATAGTCAGCATGGTTTTGGATATTTCTTTTAGGGATTCAAACTGAGGCATTTTTACTGGGTGAATGTGGGAAAAAAAAAAAAAAAAAAAAAAAAATCACTCCTTGGATCAGGACAGGGTTTCAACAGGTTTAATTTAAGACTTCTTGACCCCTTGAAATTTAAGACCTATATCATGCTTATGTTTATCTAAAAAAACTGCCATAAATTAACTATTTAGAAAATAATAATAATAAAAAAAAAATCTACTTTCCATAATCATATATACCATATTAAAAAACACCTACAGAAAAATTGAAAATGACTACATTTTCTCCACAAACATCTTATAAGTTTCAAAACACAGGTGTGGGGCTTAGTGGGCGTGGCATTACTTAGTTATTAGTTACTGTAACTAGATTACGTTTTTTAGAAACTCGTTAATCAAAAGTGTTATAATTTCCAAGGTTATAGTTACCGCCCAAGAAACTATGCATTACCGCCGTGTTACAGAGTTGCTTAGAGAAAGCGCATATTTAAAATTTGATGTTATAAAACAGTTTCGTATGTCAGTTTTGGTCTGGAGTAGGTGCTTGGCTTTCAGTGAAACAAATTTCAGGAGCAAATATCCAATCAGCGAACTACTCCTTTTTGTAAATATCCAATCAGTTTTGCATATTCATATACCAAAAGCAAGCAGATGAACAGTGCTATCAGAAAAAAGTTCAAGAAGTCAGCCAAAGAAAGCTTCTAGTATCCTCATCCACATTAAATACTCTAAAATATTACTCGAAAAGTCATCCATAACCCTAAGTAGGCTATTAAATTAATAATGTGGATAATCTTGAGACCCCTACCCCTGAGATGGTAGTTAACTAAAAATAAATACACAGCTAAACAAGGTGATTCTCAACATTAACTATTCCTGTTTCAATACACAATAACGCCAAATTTATATTATAACCACAAACATACCAAAAAAGTCATTAAGAACCATTTAAAAAAAGGCCCTGTATCATTAAGTCTATATGGGATTACATGAAGAGACAGAGGGATGAAAACCTGTGGTTAGTTCTCAAAGATGTTCTTGTTACAAACTACCAGCTGAATTCCTTGCAAAACTGTTGGCAGAACTGCTGGCAAAGGGTGGTCAAATATTGATCCAAATAAAATTTCATTTGTTAACTGCATTTTGATCATTGATCTAATTTCTGAAAGCATCTTAACCCATTGCACAGTCGGTATAGGTCCACCCCATCACTAGTACAACCCTGGTCATGGTAAACCAGCTAAACACATTCTTAAGGATTTTTTCCCAGAAGAATTTTAATCAACAGGTGGCCAACAAAATGGTCAAATTATGTGCAGTTTGTTAACAACATGCTTTTTATTTGTCCACTATTTAATTAAAAACAGAAATACTATGTACATGAAGCATTCACATGTTTCTGTGAGTTAAATCAGAGTTGAAATGGTTAATATAATTTCAGTCAAGCCGGTAAAGCATAAAAGGCAAAAAGACCAGAGTGAAGTTCATGTAAGAAAATGCAAATAGCCAGGTGTTAAGACCATAGCCTTTTGATTCTCAAAACCCTGAGCAATGAAAAATTTGTTACTTCTGATAAAAACCCTGAAGAAGCATAGCAATCATATGTCTCATTAAGCAATTTTTTTTATATAAGTGTTTCATGTTCCTGTAAACCATTAAGACCTGCTAAACCATGTGCCAGACCCTGGACTTAATCTTGTGTGTGAGTGTGTATGGGGCTGGGCAGTGTGTACTGTACTTACCCCATTCCACTCCACGCTCATACTCACTTCCTCTCCTCCGTCTGGTCCACTCTCATACTTGACCGTGTCCGAGTTCAGACTTTCACGGCTGCGCTGCTTCTCTCGAACCTCAGGGCCACCCAGCACCTCTGCCACACGCTGTTTGTGAGCTGTGTCTAGTCCCTGGAAGAAGGAATACAACCAAGAATCTGCAGATTAATCACTACACTTTTAATAATGTTGTTTTAAAGTTGTTTTGTGTTCATTTGTTCTTGTGTTATACATGTTCTGAAATGAGCAGGAGGTATAATGCCACATATTATAACATTTATGAAAATGCTGAAGTGTTTAGTGATTAAGCTAATGATGGGTTGTGTTGTTGGTTGTACGTTTGTATTGCTGAGAAACTCAATCTGATAAAACTATTCAAAAGAGTTCCTGATCACGTCTCTGTTGAGACAATTTACAATTTTAACCCGCAGATAGCTATAGTTTGATACAAATTGTTCATCGTACAGTAAATTTACCATTTTGTTTAATTGTCAATTAAAAAACAATGAAGGCAGTTAATGGACCATTTATATTAGTAACTTGGTGTACCACAGCTCACACATGACAACCTCATAATATCTCAACACTTGCATGAATAGAGGATCTCACAAACCTGTTTTCTGGAGCGCAGAGCTGCCTCCTCCAGAGTCTCCGCTGCCTCAAACTTGCCCTGTCTCCTGTACAGAGCCCCCAGATTCTTCAGCGTAGTGGTGACAGTGGGGCTGCGGATTTAAACAGCACACAGTAGAACACTTAAAATCATCAGGTGATTCTATTTAAAAGAAAAATAAACATTTTAAATAATGACCTGTCCACTTTACAGGCTTTGTACCAGCCACCATACTCTGCAAACTGGGAGCCATCCTTCTGCTTGCCCTGAAACACAGAAAACACTTATCTTCCAAACATTATGTTGTACAACAAAACAGATTCGCAATTCTCTTTAAATGCTACATTGAGGCTTATTTCTTGTGATAAATCTCAGATATCTGGAGACTGTTCCAAAAATGAGATATCTGAGATTTATCACAAGATTTAAGCCTGCATTCATTGCAAGTAATGAATCATTTTTAAGCTGCAGTAACAAAGAGGATATTAGACCAATATATATCTGTGAGATATCTCATTAGGGAAGGTATCAAATTGGATGGACACTTGAAGGCCTGCTGCTGGAGAAAAAAAAAATTCACATGGACACTCAAACACCCATGAAACCCTGTAATGACTACCAAACTAACTGGTAGCAGTCGATTCATTGCTTTTAAAACTTTTAATTTAACACTGCCTAAACAAAAACACAAGCGCCTCTGTTCAGTGATCAAATGGGAAATGTAATCCTGCTCATCCATTGGCCACATGATCAGATTAAACTGCAAGATAGTCTTGACTTTAGCCGACAATTACTCTGGCTACTGTCAACACAGCAGTGACACAGCGTGACGACGACAAACTCCATCCCCCGGACACACACTACTGCGGTTATCCTGTCCACATGGCCACACTTCACCTTGGCTGGCATTTTCAAAATGCCCAGTTACAAGTACTTATGGACGTTTTTTCTCTCTTTTTTTAACAGGTACGTGTGAACAGGGATATAGTTAGTGGTTGGGAGAAGTTTCTGGCTCCTAACAGACCCTTGCCTCTTTCATCCAGTGATTTCTGAATTTCTGAGCAATGGAGAAAGCAAAAGAGCAGTCAAAAGATCTACAGGAAAAGGTTCTTGAACTGAACCAAGCAGGAAAAGGATTAAAAAAAGATATTAAAGGAACTGGGAAAACCCATCAGTACTGTTCAAACTCTGATTAAGAAGTGGAAAGTGAGGGTTTCTGTTGACAACAACAACAATTTCTGCTACAACTGCCAGAACATTTATACGAGATGCAAAGAAAAACCCATAAACTTCAGCTGAAATCTATGAAAAGTAGCTTCTGTGCTTTTGAACACAACACCAACCCCACTGTGAAACATGTTTTGGGGGGGTGTGAGCTCCAAAGGCACAGGATACTAGGTCAAATTTTAATTGAAGATGAATGCAGCATGTTATCAAAGGATACTAGGGGGAAAATGCAGAAGCTGCACATGGAACGTTCATGGACATTCCAACACAACAATGATCCAAAATACAAGGTCCACTTGTTATTGGTTACACCAGAACTAAGTGAAGGTTCTGAAGTGGCCATCTCAGTCTCCAGACTTCAATATCGTTGAACCACTCTGGGGAGAATGTGCAGTTCATGCAAAACAGCCCAAGAATTTACAAGAGTTGGAGGATTATATGGGCCGCTTTACCAACAGAAAAATAAAGAACCTCATCAACAACTACCTCAAGAGACTTCAGGCTGTCATTGATGCTAAAGGGGTGAATACAAAGTATTAAAAGCTAGGGTTTGTAAACTTTTGATTAGGGTCATTTGGAAGGTTTCTGTTGTCATTATGATATTAAAAGAGTAAACAAAGTTGTTTGAAAATAATTGTCTACACCCAACCACTAACTATGAGTGGAATAAAAAATTATTTGTGTTACCATTCATATTTTCTGAAAAAATGGCAGAGAAATAAAAAGAAACAGGAAAGGAATATTCTGACCAAGTTTTAAATGACTGCAATAGGGAAGATTTGACTTACTTTCCCCAACCAGAGAACAATATAAAACAAGGTTAATTAAAAACATTCACCATAAAACTACTTTGAGTGTAGTCAAAACCATTGATGTACATATCAAAAGTATTTACATTTATGCACTTGACAGACGTTTTGTTCCCAAGTGACTTACATTTGAATGAATGAACAAATTTTTTTTTACTGTCTCTGGGATTTGAAGCCATGAACTTTGCCTTATTAGCACAATGATCTACCAACTGAGCCACAGGAACGCAAAAGTCTTCAAAACACCCCAAAACAAAACTAAAAATGAAAAAAATAAGCATTGCATCCTGATCCAAACTAAAAAGAGGTCATATAAAACAAATGGAGTTCAATTATAGAGGCACTTCAGTCAGATTACGATATCGGATTTCACCCAATACAGATTGTTACCTTGCTCTGCTCTTCTCTCTCCTCTGCATGCATCCAGATGGGTTTATTTTCATCTGCAAGACATAGAAGAAGTATGACACATTTGATGAGGCATAGTCGGAATGTATTGAAGAGCACTGAGATACAAAAAACAAAAAGTAGGAAGAATTCCCTATTTGTAGACCTCAGTTTAAAAGCCTCTGGATTATTATTCTGGTTGATCAAGTGAAAAATGGATGGTTCAAGTTAGAAAACGTACCGTCCACCGAACCAAACTCTCTCTCGTGGGCTCTGGTCAGGATCTCTTTATACAGAGTCTCAGCCTGCTTGAACTTCCCTTGTTTCAGATAGCATGAAGCCTGAGATAAACAGAAAAGATCACTTTGAATATGAACGTGTTGAAATATTCAGCTTTAGAAAAATTTCAAGACCTATGGATTTAAATGTGGTATAAGTAGTGTACTGCCATAAAAAAAAAAAAAAAAAAAAAAATCACAATTTAGACTTATTTACTTAAACAGGCATCCATGAACAAAATACTGGTAATTACAGTTAATAGTTCACCTAGAGTTTCCTAGATACCTGTGTATCTAGATACAAATTGAACCGTTAATCTCGGATTTCAATGTCCCTACCCATAAACGAAGGAATTAAATCAATATTATTTTATTCATATTTAATTTTCAGCAACTTCAAAATGTATATCACAACATCAATTGGCAGGAAAAAAAAAGAATTCTTTTAAATGAAGAGAATGAAGTGGGAGCCTGTACCAGGTTGTTTTTGGTCTTGGCCACGTTGGGGTCATCAGGGCCCAGTCTAGTCTGGTAGATCTCCAGGGCTCTCTGGTAGTAGTACTCCACCTCCTCATACTTGCCTTGGTTCTGACACAGCAAGGCCAGATTATTCAGCTGTTTGGCGACATCTGGGTGGTCCTTGCCCAGCACCTGCATGAGAAACAAACAGCCAAACACATCCTTGTGTTATTTTGCTCCTCAAAACAGAGGGGAGCAGTTGTTGAGCTGTTGATATTAAGGGTTTGATCTTCCAATTCACAGCACAAAAACTACAGAAAATATATAATTTCAAGGAGTCAATAGTTTTTTTTTTCTCTCAATGAGGTGCACTCAGGGATCTCAGTTTTCAAAAGATTTTTCTTTGTTTTGTTTTTTTTTGCCAAAACACTTGGGACAAATGTTCTGGACAAATCTTTCACTTAAAAAAAAGAAATTCAAGTTTTGATGGATACTGGAGCATTATCAAAAGGTTTATCTTTAACAGACACCCACAGGTTCAATGCATTTTTGTTAAGTTCTGCCAGCTCTAACAGCATACCTCTCAACAGGGCTTTTTACACAGCGCTTAACCCTGGATAAAACACATTTCACACAGGGTTCTGACACCCTGCTTTGGACAGGGTTAGCACCACAGTTGCAGTGTCAACCCCATGTTTTGTTCAAGATTGTTGAAATGGAATCGTGTTTGTAGCTGCTGCTAAATGGTGGGCAACAGCGAACCAATGAGAAATCAAGATTACGCACAAACATCCGCTGAGCAGTAACATCAACTAACGGTAAAAGACCAAGTGTTTAAAAAAACTGACTGAGAACTTAGCTAAGGCTGGGTATGAACAAACACCCGATGAAAAGAACAATGAAAAAGGATTCTAAAATAAAGCTGTGAAAGATATTCAGGCATGCTCTGGTGTAGAATATGCAAATAAGAACGTTAACCCAGGGTTTAGGAAAAGTGCAGTGTGAATCGTCTGTTATTGAACAGGCAGGACTAACCGTTAACCCCAGGTTTAGCATAAGCAGTGTGAAACGTGATTACAGAAAACCCAGGAATCTGTTTATCGGGGGTTTAGGATTACCCAGGGTTAACTGTTTCAAGGGCGAAAAGCCCTAAAGATGTTGATGCTAAGCTGTGAATTGTTACCATTTTCTTAGTGTGCGCTTTAAGTCATCTTTATATATTGACCGTGTAAAAGAAGTCAGCACCACTAGGCAACATTTCAAAACAAAAAAGAGCCCTCTTTTACAAAAGGACAAATACATTTTGAATTCTGAAGCCTTCAAAGGTTTCACTCAATGTGAAAAGATCTTTCACTGTGCTGCTCTTCTATTGTTTTCCAATGTAAACACGAACGAGAAAAGAAATAATGAAACCCTTCATTGAATGTGTAACCATCTTTCAATAGGTGGGAGGAAAGAGTCATCAGGCTCACCCAGAGTCCAACCAATAAAGCATGTAGAAATTGGATCCATGGGAAACTAAACCAGGTTCTGTTTGAAGTGTACGTGATCTTCCAATCCTATTGTGTTTTGTTTTAATACAATCAATTTACTTTTTAATGTAAAACTACTCTGATCATGTGTTACTGCTGATATTCAAGTTCTGAAACATTATTTTTCCAAGTATCTACCATGATTTTCCATTGGTTTTGGCCAAAACACTGTAAATAAATGCAATTAATTTGCAGCAAATAGTTCAGTGTAGCACTCTATTGACAAAAACTTCTGCAGTGAATAAAAGTAGTACAATTCAGATCTCATAACTAGACCTTGAGATGTCCTGTTACTTTCACATGCCTCCCTCTTTCATTCCACTCAATCCATATTTTCATATAATCTCTTTACAAAATCAAAAGATTTTCAAGACACTCAAGGTCTTCATTTGTTCAAATCCTACCATTCAAAATAAAAGTTCAACACAAAGTTGTAAACCTTACGGTTTATAGTCACCGTATAAATATTCGCCTTTCGCTTCAGACAAAACTAAAGGAATTCTGGAAGAAAAAAATAAAAATAAAAAAATAAAAATCACTAAGAATGCTGGGAAATTTTCCCTTTTCCATTGACTTAACATGGGGTCAAAATTTTTCAAACCGAGGACCTCGTAGAAATGTCAAACTTACCACACTTGTGGACATTATTAGTCAATCTTAGAAATGACCAAGAACTAGGGGTGGGCGATATCTCGATATTTAAAATATATCGAGATTTTTTTTAAACTCGATATGAATTCTGGCATATCGTACATATCGATATAATGTCTATATTTAATTTTCGCCTTCTCTGTGCTGTGCTCGTCCGCACCTCCTTGCTTTTGTTTCCCCTCCCCTTGCCTGTCGTCTCATTCAACATGGCGGCGCCCGCAACCAGCCCGGAGGTTACAGAACTTGTTGCAAAAAAAGAACAGCTGGCTCCATTATATGGAAATACTTTGGTTTTAAGTCGTCAGACGAACAACAGACAGATGTCTACTGCCGTGAAAGTTGCTGCCAACCAAAGCTCAACTAATCTCCACAGTTCTATAACGCGGAGTGTAGAATATGAAAGACAGAGCGCGAGGTGGTGTAGTGTCACAGAGTTCATGGCATTTCGCAAAGCGGTGGACATGGCACCCATATCCGTCGTTGAACAACGTGGCTTTAAACGTATGCTAAAAACACTTGATCCCAGTCAGATACAGTTTACCCAGTCGGCATTACTTTTCGAGACAGGAACTCCCGCGACTGTACACTACAGAGAGAGCGTGGCTTGCTCCTGAATTGGAAAAGGTTACTTACATTCTTACAACAGAGGTCCTGCAAAGATGAGTTGAGTTGAGTTGTTTTATTTTTGAATGAAAAGAAGGCAATGTGTATTATTTTACAGTTAAATTATTATTTATGTTATCAGGGATTTTGTTTATATCCTAAATGTTACAGGAGCACTTTGTCCCTATGCACTGCCTGTTTTTTAGTTGTTTTATTTTTGAAAGAAAAGGCAATATGTATTTCTTTATTGTTTTATAATATGTATACAAGGATTTCTGAAAGAAAATTTGCAGAAGCACCTCTGAGCGTCAATAAAAAACGACTTTGAAATTTGTAATATTTGTTTTTGCAGTAGTTTTTTTTTTTTTTTTTTTGGTGGGTTAAATCCTGTCGATATCGAGATATATCGTATATCGAGATATAGCAAAAATGTATCGAGATATATTTTTTGCTTCATATCGCCCAGCCCTACCAAGAACTGTGCAAACGTATTTAATGGCCTTTACAATTAATGAGAAACAACAGCAAAAATCTCATCATAGAGAACTGGGGGGTGGTTTATGTTTGTTCATACCCTAGCAACCAAACTCTCAGCTTTGGTAAATGATAAAGACATGAAGGTTGGATTATATAGCTTATAGTGGCATGGGGAACTTTTAGTGTGTCATGTTTCCATCCAAAAATGTAAATGTATGTCAGAAACTGGAAACGCAATGTGCAAAGTCATGTCATCTTGCTTTCGAGGTGGGAGACTGCTCTTTGGGAATGAAGGAATTTGTCTATTTAACAAAAATGCACGCAACATCAGCGATAACACCCACTGTGAAAAACAATTGGATCATTAATAGGAAAACTGGCACGAAGTTGCGTATCCCCAATCATGTACATTTGCATGTTACTGTTGGGAGGACTCAAACCTTAAAAAAAAAAAAAAGAACTTAGAAGATCTTTGGCCAGGCTTAGTTATTTATTGTTGGAGTAATCCAATACAATGGTGAGCCATTAAAGTATTGGTGAGCTAAATATACCCATTTCTGACGGGATAAATGCTTATTTATAACGTTTACTCATTAACATAAATGGCATACACAACAAAAACCCTTGTAAGCTATTCAGAGTGAACAAAATCTTTAGTTTGGGTGCTTTCTGATCAAAAACACCATTGCTAATCTCAAGATTGTTATGTTTCAGCTCTGACCCACCATCTCTCTGATCTCCAGTGCTCTTTTACACAGAGGCTCTGCTTCCTTGTACTTCCCTCGCTTGCCGTAGAGAACTGCCAGATTGTTGAGCGTGGCAGCCACCTGTACACAAGTT